CAATCTCATAAGGATTAAAATATGATGGAGGGGCATAAGGTGAAGGGATATAATTTCCCCCCAAACTTGGATCAAACAATTCCTCCATTCACAATTAAAATCCAAATGCAAGAAAATATTGGCCTCAACAAAGGCCTGTGCTTGGACTTAAAATAAAGTAATGAAATAAGTTTCAATAAGGGCTATCACAAGCATGCAAAGAAGTGAAACAATTAAAATACAAGAGTTTAAAGAATTGCTCACAACGGTCCTTAAGCAACTTCAAATTTTAATATTAGCTTTAAGCTTCAATGATTGCTTCAAGTTCCAAAGTTTGCCTTCCTTATAGTCAAGTACCTAATTGAACAAATAATAATGAGAACAAGAGAAAAGAATATACAATGAAAAATAAAATAAAAATAGAAGCAATCGAATGAACACTATTGTCTAGTTTAATTCCAACAAAATCGTTAATCCCCAGCAATGGCGCCAAAAACTATGGTCGTCGTCCTACCATAAGCTTAAGAGTGTGCATTAAGGCGAGGGCCAAGAGTTTTACATTTATAGAAGCCATTACTACCTTTCACTATAAATATAGCTAGGGAGAGTAGGGATCGTCCCAAGGGATTATACGTGTTGGAATTTAACTTCAACTCTAATGTACTAAATGATTGCAAAGAGAGATTGATTGTTTGATTAAACTAGAAATCAATTAATGAAAATGCAATTAAAATAAACTAATGAGAGATAGGGATTTAAGAGATATGAAGAGAGGTCTTAGGGTGTTGGAATCACCACTAAGCTCATGTAATTAACCACTTGTTTTCCATTAATGGGGAATACATTATTGTGAACAAAATGTGACTACAAATTGCAATATTAAGCATGAGCCATCTAATTTATATATGAATTGTCTACCTAAACTAAGTGTAACACAACCCATCAATTTTAAGCATGACCCATCTAAGTAGCAACAATTGTAGCAGACATAAATCTAGAGAATCATAGAATTTGCAATATTAAGCATAGACCATCTAATTTATATATGAATTGTCTACCTAAACTAAGTGTAGCACAACCCATCAATTTTAAGCATGACCCATCTAAGTAGCAACAATTGTAGCACACATCAATCTAGAGAATCATGGAATTTGCAATAATAAGCCATGGAATATCTAAGCAAGCATAGATTGTCTACCTACCTACAAGTATGAATTAAATTGTAGAACAACCCATCAAGTATAAGTATAAACCATCAAATTAATTGACAAACCCACTCAATGAAACCCCATGCTTTGCCATCACTAGATTTTCAATCAACCACACATAGACATGCAATTAATATAGAAATACTAGTGTAGAGATTAATTCCCAAATAATCACACATAAGATAACATGTAATCAAATAGAGAATCAATAGAAAGATTTAATCCATATGAATCATGTAAGAAATAATTCCAAATTTAATCACACATAGACATGTAAATAAACTAGAGAATTAATAGGAAGAATTAAACTATAGAAATCATAGAAATATATCAAGATTTATGAAATTCACAAGGCTAGAGCACTAATCACAGCAATATATATATAAATCCCCAAAAATAGAAATACAAGGGTTTAGATTACACAAGACTTAGGGCTCATCCAAGCCCTAAGTGTAGATCTAGCTAATCATGGAGGAGGTGGATGTGGTCATGGAATCAAGCTCCAAATATGGCTCCATCTTCTTCTTCTTCTTCTTTGAATCTCTAGAGATGGAGAGAGAGAGATAGGTCTAGAGATGGATCTTGAGATGTACCTCCACTTCCCTCTTTTCTTCTAACACTAATCTTTAACTTTGCTAGAGAGAGAAATATAAAATTACAACGTAAAAATAAAAAGATAAAAGCTTCTTTACAAATGGGTCTCTTTCCTTTATATAGAAAGTCATTTTCTTAGTCACTAAGTCAGGAATATAGCCCCAAAAATATCTAATCCCGTACTATGTGATAGGTGGACTTTTGGGTGTGCACGGAATAAGATAGCTCGCTGCCAGCAATGTTCGATCGATTAGAGAAAAGTTCGATCGATCAGAGAAAAGTTCGATCGATCAGACTTTAATCGATCTCACTTTTCTGATCGATCTCACGATCGATCTCACTTGGTAGCTTTTCAGGATCAGCCTCTTTTTACTCCAAATCAGCCTCCTTTTGCTCCGAATCCTCTCTAAGACTTAGTTTGACTTCAAAAAAGCCTTAAGAAACAATTTTTAGCCCATTTTAACATTATTGACCTGAAATAGATAAAAACACAAATAAGTGCTAAAACGGGTAAATAAGATAGATAAAGGTCATAAAATACTCAAGCTTAAGGGGTTTAAAAGTGTACTTTTCAGTGCTCATCAGTAGCGAACATCATAAAAAGACTAACATAGGGTCGGCGACTAAGTGTATTTGCCACTACATTCGCTTTCCTTGGATGGTATTGTATAAAGAAGTGGTAATCTTTCACAAACTCTAAACACTTATGCTGTCTTATATGTAGCTCCTTCTGCATGAAGAGATACTGTAAACTCTTATGGTCATTAAATAGTCTGAAGGACTCTCCCAACAGATAATGCCTTCAAATGCGTAAGGCAAAGACCACAGCTGCTAACTCCAAATCGTGCATCGGATAGTTAAGCTCATAATACTTAAGCTTACGAGACCTATAAGAAATCGATCGCTCCTCCTGCATTAAAACACATCCTAGACCTTACAAAGAAGCATCTGTGTAGACAAGAAACTCTATCCCTCTTTGGGGAGTGGCTAGAACAGGTGTAGAAGTCAACTTATTCCTTAGTGTGTCAAACGCAGTCTGACAATGCTTATCCTATACAAATGGTAAACCCTTCTTAGTCAGATAGGTGAGTGGTCTTACTACCTTTGAAAAACCCTTGGATGAATCTGCAATAATATCCTGTCAATCCCAGAAAGCTATAAATCTTAGTGGGTGAGGTAGGCTGTCCCCATTCTAAAACAGTTGGGACCTTAGCTGGATCCACCGTTATCCCCTTCTCTGACACCACGTGACCCAGAAACTTCACTTCTTGCTGCTAAAAGTCACACTTTTCAAACTTGGCATACAACTGGTGCGCACGAAGTGTCTGCAACACTATACGAAGATATCTAGCATGGTCCTTCTCTGACTTAGAATAAACCAGAATATTATCGATGAAAACAATTATGAACTGATCTAAGTAAGCCCTGAAGACCCTGTTCATCAAGTCCATAAAGACAGCTGGCGCATTAGTCAACTCAAAAGGCATGACTCGAAATTCAAAAAATCCATATCTAGTGAGAAATGCTGTTTTAGGAACATCCTACTCCCTAACTCGAAGCTGATGATAGCCAGATCACAAATCAAGTAGCTCCCTTTAACTGATCAAATAAGTCGTTAATCTTGGGCAAATGATACTTGTTACGAATAATAATATTGTTCAACTCCCTGTAATCTATACACAGGCGAAGTGAGCCACCATTCTTCTTCACAAACAACACTGGTGCCCCCCAAGGTGAAGTACTTTTACAAATGAAACCTGGCTTAGAAGTTACTAAATTTAATCCTTCAGCTCTCGCATTTCTATTGGTGCCATCCTGTGTAGTGCCTTGGCAATAGGTGTAGTGCCTGGAGCTAGATCAATCACGAAGTCTATCTCTCGACTCAGTGGCAACCCTGGAATCTCTTTAAATACGTCTGGAAATTCCTATACAATCAGTATATTATCTAGTGCTATAGTAATCTCCCCCTCAGACTCCTCCTTAATATACAATAAATGAGTGCTCGATCCCCTATTAGAACGTGGCATAGCAATAATATACATATCCTGACCCGGTATCGCAAATACAATAAACTTATCGTGACAATTAACCTGAACATGATAGTGAGATAACCAATCCATCCCAAGTATCACATCATAAGAATGCATGTCCAAGACCAATAGGTTGGCTAAAAATCTAAGTCTACCAATATCTAGTGTCACAAGCCCAACACTTTTATGCCAAATAGAAGTAACACCTATAGGTGTACCAATACTACAAGGTTGATCACATAACTGTGTAGTAATCCCAGATAATGCAACAAATGAACTATATACAAATGAATGCGTAGCATCTGTATCAAACAAAACATGCCCATATCTATCGTGTATAGGAAACATACCCTCAATAGCCTGAGGAGTCTGAACGTCCTGTGGTATGTGGTTATACATCCTACCATAATGCAACTGCTGCGATGCTTGTCCCTGTAGTGGCAGTGGCGCTGGTAAAACCAGGAACACCTATCCCTGATGAACTATTCTCATATCGGTGGAGCCTAGGCTCCCCTTTGTGAAAGAACTCCTAGCCTTTTCCCAAGAATTAGCCTGAACTACAGGTATTGGTACAGGTGCCTGCTGAACATGTGGCTGATTTTGAAGTGCAGCTGCTACGCCTGCTGTTACAGCCTAAGCAATAATGTCAGTTAGCTGATGAGGATACTTTAAACCTCTACCCTGATGTTGGTCCTAACCCTGAGACTCCAGGGTTTGCTGTTCCTCCTCCTGAATTATAGGAACCTATTCCTTATCCTTTTGAAACAAAGGCCATTATTGCTCCTCTACAATCTGCTGATGTCGTAAGAGATTCTGCTACCTACGCACTGCTCTCCTTTATTGCCTTGTTCTCCTAACCCACTCTCTTTCCTATCTTCTTCCAATGTTAACCATTCAGTTAACATCGAAAGGTAGACGTCAATATATATCTAAAGAAACATAAAGGAATATAATGAACCCTAAAACTTAGGCTCTAATCAAAAGAATACACTACGCGAAAGTCTTATAACGAATGAAACCCTAGAAACACTTGAATCTGGAGTGCTTTGATACCAAATATGATACCCCCTAATTTCGAAACACGGGTTGATCAGGTCCGCGCACAAAATCAGGGAATATCAGCCAATCAATAATAAACAAACATAGAATAAAAAAGAAATGACGATAAAATAAATAAATATCGCTGAAAGAGAAATCTAAAATAATAATTAAATAATGAATCTTCTGATAACGTAATCTCCAATAAATTTTCTTTATAAGAATAACCTCCAAAGTACAACTTGGGAATCCATACAATGTGGACCCCTAATAAAAATCCCAAACCAATAGATGAAATAAATAAGTGTCTAACTCAAAAGTAATAAATAATGATGAAAAACATAGTGGAGGACCTACGCCGATGACACCAGAAGAGTGATAAAGACTGACCTCTGTTCTGCACGAACTAACTTTACATCTGGAACTGTCGATGACCTGAAAAGATAACAACAAAGGTGGGTCAAAACCCATAAACAAGCCCTTTCTACTACGTCCCAAACAGAGACCCGATAAACGATACATCCTAGTCCGACTCATGCAATATCTATGCAGGTCAATATACATAAGTATACACACTATAGATTTTCACTGGATCATAAGACAGCCTCAACTGGATAGTAGGTCTCATGCAAGCACACACAAGGTGGTCATGAATACCTCTTTTACCAGGGCACACACATCCCTATAACTAGCTACTCATCTCATCTGGCAATATACGCTAACCCTAGCCATCGATCCTGAGATCTTAAGCTCGTATCATGGTACACTCTCAAAATATACATATGTAAGTAATTATAGCCATATCTTGACAATGGCACAATCTAAAGTCATAACTATATCCTGACAATAATATAATAAAAAGTATGAGTCTAGGCTTATTAGCCAGCTCACATAAGTATCAGCAAGCCATATCCTAATAATGGTGCTTCTAAGACATTATACATGTATATACAAATATGTATATTTAAAAATTCACCTATATTAATATTAGAATTTATCCGAATATTTTACCATGCAATTAACTTATAATGTAAGTAAAATTATTTACGTTAACTTATACATGATCAATTGTCATAGCAACAACTATAGAAATAAATATAACAATACGAGCTATTAAAAAAAATAGCATAACAGTACTTTAACATACAAGTAAGGCCATGTATCGTTACATGTACGATTTACATTATAATATCCTCTAAGATAATTTCTATAACAAGGTGACCGTCAATATTTATTAAATAAATAACTTGCAACTTAAAAAAATTCCATTATATTACACCATACCCGTACAGTAGTTATTATATAATTAAATCATATTAATTAACTTATAATGAACTCAGAGTCTGGAAATAACAGTAGCATAATAATAAAAATAGTCACATGGTATAAAACTATGCAAACAGACTGTGTAAATGCCCAATTCATGGTCCACCCATGATGCCATTGAATTTCACACAACCCAACAGAACATCTCATTTTGTGATGCCACCGCAAATCGCAAGACCCGCCAAAAAGAATAGTAGCAGCCATGAGTAGTATTGTCGCAAGACCCACCCAACAGAAAATCAAGAATTAAGAATATATATAAAGATATATGGTTAAGTGCAAAAAAATTGTGCAAAAGTAGTTCCTATTTTTTTAAAATGTGCATATTAGTCCATAAAATTCAAAAAAAGTGTAAATAAGCACCTCTGATCATTTTTTTGACCAAAATTAAATATAAAAAATCCTATTTTACCCTTTTAATTTCTATTTTGCCCTCACGCATATATGGCTCAGCTGGTACTAGCTAAACGGCTCGACTCGCCGTAGATGTGACTTGATTCTCACCGGAAAAATGAATTTTTTAGAGTTGGCGTTGCAGTCCAGGATGTACAAAGGCTCTAGAATTCTACCTAAGGTCTATGTGAATGGACCAAGAATTGCAATGACGATCCATCGCAAGGACGAGCAGCAAAGATAATGAGGTAGAGCACGGAGAGGATGATGATGATGATGATGATGGAGATGAAGAGGAAATGGAAGAGGAAGGAGAGACCGCCTAAAAATACATCAGTGATCAGTGTGAAAGGCATGTAATTCTGACTTTGATCACCCCTGGTTTTAAGCTTCTCAATGCATTTTGGTAGAATACAATACAAGTTAAAGGTAATGACTGAAATATGTTTTGTTAAGTAAAAATGTAAAAAACAGAGACGCTTAATCTACTAACAGAAACCATCAATTAAGCCATGAGCATAGCATATGACTCCAAATTTCACAACCAAAAGACACTGAACTCTTGGAGCTCTAATTTCCCACTCACCACCATCAATGTTCAAACATATGCTAGCAAAAACAAGAAATAAAGAAAACATACTTAACCAAAAGTAAGACAAATCCAATTCACCCAAAAACAGAGGGAAAACTATATACTACTCTTTAAGTCGCGAACGCCTCTTTGACCTCCGGCGGTGGCTCCGCCTCGCTGATCTTGAACTTCCGGTTGAAGTACCCAAACATCTTGTAATTGTAGCTCCCCATTTCTTCAACTCTCTCACCTCACTTGAACAGAGCCACAAAATCCCTCTATTTATGCCATGCACAAACTAACCTATTCATTCACAAATCCCTCTATTTTTGCCTGGTGTATTACGGTCATCAAATCGCAATTAAATGGAAAAAATCGATTTGATGATCAGCTTCTTAAGGAAAAGTGGGTGAAAAGTAATACGAACCCCTTTCTCGCGGTTCCACCGCTGATCTCGCCGCCGTATCAATTCATCTTGTTGCCACCGTCTCGCCACCTACGGTCCCTTCACCTTCACCGACGCCGGACAACACAACTTCACCGGACACAGCACCATCTTTGTCAACGGCGGCAATACAGAGACCACCTTCTTCATCAACATCACAAGGGCCAGAAATCAGTGCTCACCGTGGGATCCTCCTCACCGAGCACTGCTTTGCTCGTTTGCAACAACCGCTTCTTCATCGCGAATCGTCGTCCTCTTAATTTACCGCCATCGAAATTCTTGTTCCCCATTTCAAAGACCGGTCATCGTGGGGTCTCTCGAAGGCTTCGAAGAGGGAAGCCTCCATTTCCATCACCATCCGAACCAGTCGTGCTCATCGCCGTTCCTCCGTTGCGGTCGATCCTCATCGCCGTCCCCGTGGCTGCAGTACTTTCCCCTTCGCAGAGACATATATATAATATATCTTATATATATATACACTACACCCAAGTACCTCTATTTGGCTACAGCTCAATTTTTTTTTTTTTTTTATTTTATTTTTTTGATAAGTTGGTAAAAAGGTCGTTTTACATGGCCTATATTTATAGTTATTAATTTATTCAGCTGAAGTGAGGATATTATCATTATTTTACACCACACAAGGACTTATTTGCACTGAATTAATAGTATATGAGTTTTTTTTTTACCACACAGGAATCGATATGCACAATACCGACAGTAAAGGGAGGTTTTTTGCACTTAACCCTAAAGATATACAAATATTAAACCACCTTAACCCATCACTGACTTTCCAAAATAAAACCCTTTAGGAAATAGATTTCAACATAGCATCTATTTATATATATCAAGAATATATACATTAATTTCACCCAATAAAGACCTGATTGAAACATGTAATTAAAGACTTTCTTTTCTGTAATTACACCCTATAGTAGAAGAAGACTTGCCGTTTAGAGTCTTTGGGTCGAAACGGTACACCATTAATCACCGATTTTCCTTGATGCAGGCGACTTTCGAGTCACCGCTAACTACCCTTACTGCTCCGGTCTCATAAATCTCCATTTTCTTTCTCCCTCTTTCCTCTGTTTCTTTCCTCTCTTTTCTCCCTCTTTCTCTCGGCTTTTTTTTTTGGCCGTCGCTCATTTTTTGTTCTTTCCTTTCTTTCCCTTAACACCCAGTTCTGCCAGAATATAACCTATATACATGTATATGATGTGATTGAACTAACCTATTTCTAACCTATACACTAGTAGGCCCACCATAACACCACTAATCACAACTAACTAATACAAACTAATCCTAATAACAATTAAACTTTCACAGCACCAAATGACACGACTGTGTCATTTAATAGTTAAATAAATAGTCATTATATAGTTAATAATATAATAACTAAATAATACCACCAACGGATTATACCTTTATATATATATATAAAATGACACCAATAAACATATACAATTAACTAAAGAATTTCTACTAAAAAATTAACATTTAAACGACAAATAAATAATATCCTAAAATAAATGCACAACAAATTCAAATAGCCACATGGATAAATAAAATGAAATCAAATAATAAAAAAAATAAAACCTTGGAAAATTTAGAGGTATTACAAGTTTTGACCTTTGGGATCATCGTGAGTGCTCGAGAATAATTCTCAACACTTATTCTTTTGGGAGATTGGTATTGTTCCAGTGAAGACCATGTCGTCTCCTTTTTTCTTTTTCAGACATTTTCCTTTTTCGTCTTTTTCCCCTTTTGTCACATTTTTGGTGTAACCTCACTTTTTTGCTCGGAGTTGATTTCTGACTTCACATACCTTTATTCTATGTGGTTTCCACGAAATACATATCTTTACTTTTGTAGAAAAATACTATGGTTGTTTCCGGTGTTCATAAGGGTATGGATGCAAAGTTTTTTCAGAGACATTCTTCTTTTTTGGGGTGTTTTTCATTTATTTCGGGGATTTTTAAGAAAATATTTTTAGAAGATATTTTCTTTTTCGGCAGTTTTGCAATTATCCTTTCTTAGATGGGCCATTGTGTAATTAATGAAAGTTATTGTAAAATGCCTCATTTTGAGCCTGGATCATTGTACGGGATTCATTTTCACATTTCGTCGAGTCATGTACACTTAGGATTTCCTTCCGATCGTTTTCGCCAGTTTTAGGGTTTTTGAAAAAGTCAACTTTTTCCCTTCTTCCTTCCTTTCTTGGCTAGCCATCCATGGCAGCCCTTGGGTTGCCACCCTTCTTTCTTCTTTTCCATTTTCTTCCTTCTTGAATTTTGCCGTAGTGCTTTACCGTTTATCGTATGCCTTGGCGAGGCGGTCCTTTCCCCCTTATTAGAAGATGGTTTTAACCATTTTTGAGTTTGGGTTTGAATTTTCATGGTGCCTCAAAGGTGATAGTTGCTTCCCTCGTTGTCCCCGACAAACCCCAGAAGTATCGTAGGATTCGGAGCAGTTCCGTTTTGTTGGGGATTTGAGATTTCATCTCAAAGTGAGGTAAGGGATGTTATAGGTTTATATAATTGTTGTATTGATTGTTTTATAAGTTTATACAACTTGTATGCATGCTTATGTATTTTATTTAGAATTTAATTTAATTATTTTTTTTTGTATAAGATTTAATTCTCATGGTTGTATATAGCTTATAATTAAATTGTGGTATACTATTAAATTAGGTCTTGATATGTTTATTAACATATATTAAATTGAGAGTGTTTGAATAAGTATTGAAACTTTTATTTAATCTTTCACTTGTATGAAAATTTAATTCACATGGTTGTAACTAGTATGGAATCAACTTGTAATGTGATATTAAATTAGGCCTTGGTATATTCTTTAATATATGTGAATTTGAGAATATTTGGAGTTCCTCTAAAATCTAGAGAAAATTAATAAATTAGATTAATTAATTTTATTTTAAGTGTTCTAATCACTTAATTGAATTTTTAACTTGATATTGTTGATGAGCATACTATATTCTTTCATATATATTAAATTGAGAGTATTTGAATAAGTTTTGAAACTTTTATTTAATTATTTTCTTGTATGAAAGTTTAATTCTCATGGTTGTACCTTGCATGATAGTAACTTGTAATGTGATGTTAAATCAAGCCTTGACATGTTCTTTAACATAGCTTAATTTGAGAGTATTTGGATGAGATTTAAAATCTAGAGACCGATTCTAGTGCATTAATGACTTAGTCATGTATTTGACATTGATTGAATGTTTAAATCATGATTTCAAACTTATATTATATTCATGAGATTATGTTTTCGATATTGAAATAATATTGTTATAGCGCGTAACGAATCGCACATTGAATATTCGACATTTTAAATGTCACTGTAGACTTGAAACACTAGAACATGACTTGTGCGGTTTCATCTCTACTTGTGCGTGGAAGGCAATTTCTATGCATTATTTAATTTTATATAAGTTTTGAACTTATTTTGGAAACACTTAGGACATCACACAATTTGATATGGCTAGGGTAAGGTCCTAGTACGGGGGGATGAGAGTTCCCTCTATAAATATAGTGTGCACTTGGGTTGTTCCCGGGGATTAGTAGCCCAAAGTAACTGTTAACGTCTAGTGCGCACTAGGGTTGTTCCCGTGGGTTAGTAGCCTGATCAACTGCCACGTCTTGGTTTTATTCCTGGATTCGATGTTCCGTTTTTTAATTTCTCGTTTAATTACAAGTTGACAATCAATGCTTAATTGTGACTTGTGATTTTGGTATTTAAAGTTCTAAAATTGCTTTAAAGACTTGTGTAATTTGTATTTCATTTCAACCATTTAAGTAGTTGAGATGATCCCTTAGTTCGCTTTGAAACATAGACGCTAAATGGCATGAACCACTTTAGTTGATTTCGTATTTTAGATTTCAAGTTGATGACTTTGAGAATTTATATCTTGTTGCGTTGTATGGTATGCTTTTATATTGTTTAATTGTATAGGTATTTTGGTTTATGCTAGAAATGTTTTAAAGTAGCTTAAGATGATCCCTGAGTCTCACTTTTGACCTAGACGTTAGGTGGCATAACCTTTTGAATTGTTTCATATTAATATGATAACCTTATAAAATGTTAGGTCATGTATGCTCATTCCCTACGAGTAATGCATGTTAATCACCCCTCGTTGAATGCGACATGTTTCAGGCAAGAAGACGTGGTTTTTGGAATGCACAATATCCCTTGAATGTTTTTGTAGACTTGAAGTATTTAATTCATGCAAATGTTAGCATGAAATGCTATTTTGATTTAAAATGTCAAAACTTATATATTTGATTCTAAATATGTAATGTGTACATAAGTACACCCTTTGAGATGTATTTGACATATATGAGATAAGGCCATAGGTCATGAACATTTATTTTACATTCTAAGTACTTCTACTTTCAAGCCTATTTTATTGAAAAATAGAAAAATGCAATGCTCTAACTCCATTACATTTGCATGGGTGGTGGGAAGTAGGTTTTAACACTTACATAAGATCTCTTCAATCATGTATGAAGTATGGCCAAGGGCCAAACAGTCATTTGAAACCATTTTGTAATTTTGAGTTTCAAATTTTCATTTTAAAGTCAAATTTTGCATCGGGCATTTATGGGGCCCACGGGTTATTTCCGCGCACTTAAAATCACTAAATACGTTTGCATGCATAATCGTTTTAGCCTAGAAATGCATTAGAGTCAAATGAACACTCGGTGCAAAGTTGCTTTTTAAATGTTTTTGACCTAAACTGATCCAGGGGCATTATGGGCATTTCACAGTGCATTTAAATTTTTTTTTCCCTACACAGTTAGGTAGAAAACTTGATTTTAAGGGGGGTTTCTTCTTTGTGTTTTTGCAAAAAAAATCGTTTAAGGGTCCAAATTCAGCCTTAGTTCTGGAAATTTTAGAAAAAAATGCACAACAACTTTTTGGGGCTGCTGTTAGCCATGCGTCTGCCCAGCGCACGCGCGGGGCTTCCCTTGCACTTGCCCGTATGAAAGGGGCTACCTTGTGCCCCCTTTGCCTCTTCGATATTTGAATTTCAAAGAGTGTTTCTCCTTTACCTGGACTCAGTTTTTGGATTTTTGAGCCTAACTTGACTGATTTTCGTCGTCTATCCAACAATATACTCGGTTACACTTGAATCTTTCTGAAAAATTACCAGTTTGCCCCTAGGGCTTTAATTGTCTATTTTTCGTCGTTAGTCTATATTTTCTTCGTCCGGATTCCGAATCAAGCGATTTTTGAGTCTAACTTGATTAGTTTTTCATTATCTATTCATTGGTGTCCTCGGTAACACCCAAATATTTTCAAAAATTACAATTTTTGCCCTTAGGGCTAAACTTTTTCATTTTCCTTTTTAAATTACTTCCGCTTTGCTTTCTTTTGAGTTCCGTGACTTCATAGGAAGTCACGGATGTGTCTTGGGAATGATGTACATTTCCAAAGACGTTGCTTCCATGAAAAAAGACTATATTAAAAAGAGTGTTGTCAATGGGTTACGCAGTGCAGATTGTTTCTACTCATTGAATCTTTCATCATGTGATATACGTCACCAATCAAAAGGTTGGGTAACCTCCGTAGGTGACTCCTTTGGGACTTAGGCCCATCCCCCTCGACACACTCTTGATCTTTTTTTTTCTTTTCTTTTCTTCACAAGCCAACTCTTGGATTTTTCTTCCTTTCTCCTAAATTTTTTCCCTTTATTTTCTTTTTCTTTTTTTCTTCTCTCTATTTTTTTTTTCATTAATTTTTTTACACCCCACCACTTCCTTTTTACCAATCTTATCTCTTTTTTTCCTCCCACAAAATTGAATAATACCTTGTTAGAAAATTTTGGATATAGATTGATTGTTTGTTAGTTATTGTATCCAGATACAATTGTTAGCATATGCTTCATTAGCAACATGGAGATTGAAAGTGGTATTAGAGAGAATTAATAAAAGTCACATGCACGAGCACACATACAAGACTATCACACTAAGTGTAGGTTCAAGCTTAGAAAGCACTTACACTGATTGCCTAGTATACAGTTTCTCAATTATATGTTTTACTTATTTTATTAAAATAGGTGGGGATTGTTGATAAATATTTTAATAAAAGTAAATAAATATATAATAAATTGTTATTCAATTATAATATATTAAAAACTATTAAATTATATTTAATATAATCATTTTATTTTTACTTAATATCATATTAAGTGTGGATAACCGTTATAATTATCATTATATATAAAGAGGAAGACTTCTCATTTTTCTATCAAGGAGTGTTTTATGTATAAGTAATGATGATATAGAGTGAGTGAGACTCTTCTTTCTATTCTATTATCTATCTCTACAACTCTTTCTTG